CATTTTGAGCCAACATAATAGGATTTAAACAAAAGTTTACAACAAAAACAAAAAACTTTGTTTGCTTTTTGTGAATAAACTAACCACGTTCTATGATTTTTTTCACCATTATCCATGACGCGGTAAAAATAATGATTTGAAAAACTCAAATTATCAACATTTCTTGGATAGTTATTAGAACATTCTTTGAAACTGTTAGGACCTTTTATAACAGCATCGTGTATGAAATCAATGTTTCAATTTTCCTGCCAATCGCTAATATCGTCAAAGTATTCTGAAGTAGCCGCAGTTTCATTCAATCTTTCAATTGTTTGAATAGTTTCAACTGAATTAGTAGATTCAGTTGATTTGCTTTCATTTCCAGAATCAGCTATATTATGAACTAATGGATTTTCTTTGGCCATTTTATCATGATGAGTTTTTAATAAAAAAATTTCTAAAGATGTTTGATTTGATTTCAATTGTTCCTCTTTTCGTAGGCGTTTTTTTTTAAATTCCCAACCTGAAAGTTTTCTTTTCTCCCTTATTCTCTTTGAAAGAAACCAATAAATATTATATATAATTTTATAGCAATAGTTAGATAACTTTATATCATAATAAAAAAATTAAAGTCTCAAATAAGAGCGCTAAAACACTTTAGAACGAAAAAGTATTTAACGCAAAAAGAAAAAAAAAAAAATTTAACGCTAAAAGAAAAAAAAAAAAAAGTATTTAACGCAAAAAGAAAAAAAAAATGTATTTAACGCAATAAGAAAAAAAAAAAAAGTATTTAACGCAAAAAGAAAAAAAAAAAAAAAGTATTTAACACAAAAAGAAAAAAAAAAAAGTATTTAACGCAAAAAGAAAAAAAAAAAAAGTATTTAACGCAAAAAGAAAAAAAAAAAAGTATTTAACGCAAAAAGAAAAAAAAAAAAAAGTATTTAACGCAAAAAGAAAAAAAAAAAAAAGTATTTAACGCAAAAAGAAAAAAAAAAAAAAGTATTTAACGCAAAAAGAAAAAAAAAAAAAAGTATTTAACGCAAAAAGAAAAAAAAAAAAAAGTTTTTAACGCAAAAAGAAAAAAAAAAAAAGTATTTAACGCAAAAAGAAAAAAAAAAAAAAAAGTATTTTATTATTAATTAATGCTGTTGAGATAAAGCGCCTGGCAATATCTATGACAGCCGGTATAAATTAATTAATGAACAAGTTAGTTCAGTCACTAAATAATAAAAAACGTTAATAGTAAGCTTTCTTGGTTTTTATCTTGTTTGTTATTGCTTCTAAGTCGACCGATTGCAAGTTTAATTTGAAGCTTTTAACTGTAGTAGATTGAACAACTTCGGCTGGTAGACTATTCCATCCATCGACAACTCTATTGCTGAAAAAATATTGCCTTTTCAAACAATTTCTGACCAATTCAGGTTTCATTCGATGTTTTGCTCCTCTAATGTTAGCTGCAGGACCTGATGAGCAAATAGAGTTCATTGTTTGATTTTGTTTAATATCAATGATTTCAACACCTTTAAATATTTTGAATTGCTGGATTAAATCGCACCTTAGCCTTCTAGTCTCCAAAGTAGTCAAACCCAAAATTTCCAATCTTTTTTTGTACTCAAGATGTCTAAGCTCCGGTATCATTTTGGTAGCTCTTCGTTGGACTTTTTCTAGTTCATTAATATCTTTTGTATAATATGGACTCCATGCTTGAATTGAAAACTCTAAATTTGGTCTAACATATGTACAATACAGTGTTTTTATTAGATCTTTATCCTTGTACTTGAATGTATTATTTAGTAGTGAGAGTATACTATTTGCTTTACTAGCTGCATATTTTACTTGTTTGGCCCATTTTAAATCACTTGATATATAAACACCAATGTCTTTTTCTAATTTTGACTTTTCAATTTCCATTAATGTATTGTTATTGTTCATAAAATATGAATATTCGTTATTATTTGAACCAAAGTGCATAATTTTACATTTTTCAAAATTTAATCCTAATTTCCATTTTGTTGACCATTCGTCAAGTTTATTTATATCATTTTGAAACAATTGTGAATCATTTTGAGAAGAAATAGGTGCAATTATCTTATTATCATCAGCATATAAACGACATTCATTAATAAAATTTTCTGGTAAATCATTTATAAATATCAAAAAAAGGAGAGGACCTAGAACAGACCCTTGTGGTACACCACTAAGTACATCAACCCAATCTGTCACACTTTTACCTAAAACCACTCTTTGTTTTCTGTTAGCTAAAAAACAGACGATCCACGTAAGAAGTTTACCAGAAATACCAAAAGTCAATAACTTGGATAATAACTTTTTATGTGAAACACTATCAAAAGCTTTTTTAAAATCTGTGTACAATACATCTACCGGTGTTCTATTGTAGAACGCATCTGTTAAAATATCTAGGTATTCTAATAGGTTTGTTGTACAGCTCTTGCTTTTCATAAAACCATGTTGTTTTTTTGAAAGTAAATTATTTTTTATGAGATGTTGCATGATACAATCAGCGATTGTATCATGCGATTTAACGCAAAAAGAAAAAAAAAAAAAAGTATTTAACGCAAAAAGAAAAAAAAAAAAAGTTTTTAACGCAAAAAGAAAAACTAATTTTAAAGCTTTAATTTCAAAATTAATTTATAAAGAAACATTTTTTTAATTTAAAACGTTTTTATAAAATTTCTTGTTTAAAACACAAACGATTTTTTAAAGAAACGTTTGCTTTTCTTTAGAAATTAATTTCGATCCAATGATTCTTTTCTTTTTTTGAATGGGTTCGTTTTTGCGCCGCAAGTAAAAACAACTTTAAAATACAATGTCAATGATTGGTTAGCGGAAAATTCAAACATGATTTTTTTTTAATTGGCTGAAACATTTTTAAAATTGTACAATAAATAAACTAAAGAAAAATAATAATTTTTTTTTGAGTAATTATGGTTTTTATATAAAATATAACAAGACTAATTTTTATATAAATAAGTATACAAATTTTTATATAATTATTCCTATAAGTTTATATATTTTCATACTCTCAAAAAAAAAAAATATATATATATCTACTATAGCATATTTATTTGCGGAATTGCTCACTTTTTTTGCTAGCCTAAATTAAGTGAGCATTTTTAGAAAAAAGATGAGGGAAAACGAAGAATAATGAATAAAAATTTTGCTGACCCATACCAAACCCTCAGTCGATGTAGCAGCACTCCACGGCGAGTCAGGCTATTTGTCAGTCGATGTATGTACTGAAGCCCCCGGCAGCAGGCTATTTGACATTAGGTGAGTATGACATCATCATGCTCTCCTAACTCAGCAGTATAAGATATATATTTAATATAAATTTGGCGCCTTAGTCGCCTGGGTGAAAATCACCCGTTGTACCCGCCTTCCGCCGGGCCTATATATATATATATATATATATATATATATATATATATATATATATATATATATATATATATATATATATATATATATATATATATATATATATATATATATATATATATATATATATATATATATATATATATATATTTATATATATATATATATATATATATATATATATATATATATATATATATATATATATATATATATATATATATATATATATATATATATATATATATGTATGTATGTATGTATATAAATATATGTATAATACATATATTTATATACATACATACATACATACATCAATAATAATTATTGATGTAATTTTTCCGGAAAATTTTCATTTAAAATTTACCGGTAAATTTTAAATAGGAATGGGTAAATTTTACGGAAAAAATTTTTTGTCGAAGATAATTTTTTTTTTTTTTTTTAAGACAAAACTAACAACTAAGAAACCATTATGTCTTATCAAAGAATTCATCTACATAGAAATATGTATTTTTTAAGTTGGTTTCCCGTTTCCAACCTAACCAATAAAGCTAACAAGCTTCAACCACATAAATGTTTTCTAAGTAAATTTGCGGTCGTAAATAATGTATACAGCCTGTGTTTTTGTTGTTTATATATTTACCTCTCCAAGGCTGCATTTATTTAAGCAGCCATTTTTGACCGTACTTTCACATCAATACATACACTAAAAAAATGCTTTAACATTATTTTAAAATTAGTAGTTCCTTATGAAAAAATATGTAGATTCAGGATTTAGCATTTCATATCGAGGTTCTAAAGTATGGAATACCTTTCAAAAAGGATTCAATGGTATGGTAAATTCGTGAAGTTCATTCAAGTTTATAACAAAAAAATAAATTTTTAAAATTTGAGAAACTTTTTTGGTTAATGTTACCCATCTACCTTTTGTTGTTGTTGTTGCTTAACAATCTTATTAGTGAATAACGCATTTTATTACGATATTTATTACGATATTTAATTGAAATTTTATTACGTATACATTTTACGAAATGTTTTATGAAATTTTATTACGTAATACAATTTTTTATTGAGATTTTGTTAAAGGGGCTCTATGAAAAGATTGCGATGACGTACTGTCATCCTCATCTTCTTTGAGCCCTTGTCTGTTTTTACTCACTTTTTTTTTTATGAAGCACGAAGTTGTAAAATTATTATGTTATAAAACAGAAAAAAAAATAAAAAATTACATAGCATTACATAGATGTAATGCTACAGAAACGCCTAAAGAAAAGGCATACAGAGGGAACGTAGCGACTTTCAAAGATAAAATTTCATTTATCTCAAAAGTGGAAATGTGTGGCATGTGCCTTTTTTCCCCTGTAGTCTTCATATATCAGTCACTGATAAAAATAAATATTTTCAGTGAACCAAGCTTTAAAAATCGTCAATCTATAATAAATCTCGTAAATTTAAATTTATCATAAATTGGGTATTCGTTCATAGTAAATTTTCACCATTGTATATAACTTTTATAAGTATATTTGATCCTATCAAAGTTATGATGTAACAGCTGTTAAAAAAATACACATTTGACCGCGAGCCACACTAGAATTAAATTGCTTATTTCATGTTCTGTAAAA